AAAGAAAGAAAAAGAGTTTACTTTAAAGATTAAATGAAATTATCTATAGAATATTTAGTGAAATTTGGTACATAAGTACTCAAATATAATTGTCAAAAAAAAAAAAAAGACCCTGTCATTTGTTCGACTTGTTTTGAGACAGCCTGACTGTCCTAGAACTCACTATGTAGACGAGGCTGGCCTCTGACGCACAGAGTCTCCTGTCTCCTCTGTTTCCCCAAGTGTTGAAATTTTATTATGGGCCCCATTTTTGGAGACAGTTTCTCTTTGTGTAGTTTTGGTGCCTGTCCTGGAACTCTCTGTGTAGACCAGGCTGGCCTCAAACTCAGACATCCGCCTGCATCTGCCTCCCAAGTGCTAGGATTAAAGGTGTGTGTCACCACCGCGCGGCCAGGGTTTCTTTGTGTAGTCTTGGCTGTCATGGACCTCATTCTGTAGAAAAGGCTGTCCTTGAACTCAGAGATCTGTCTGCCTCTGCCTCCCGAGTGCTGGGATATAAGGAGAGGGATTAAAGGTGTGCACCACCACCACCACCACCACCACCAGGAGAATTCTTAGGGAGAAATAACATTCCACTCTGTGGGGGCTGGAAAGCTGGCCCAGCACTTCAGACTGCTTCTTGCTCTTCTAGAGGACCTGAGTCCAGTTCCCAGCACTCATGTTGGGTGGCTCCTAACTGCTTGTAACTCCAGCTCCAGGGGATCTGATTGCCTCTTTAGGTGCACACACACACACACAAATAGGAAATCTTATACATTTTTAGTCTACATATCACTGGATTGGGCTACTGTACATAATTCTGTAAGGAATTTTGGGGATGTGTTAATGAAGTGGGGCTCCCCTCTCCTCTGGACATATACTTTGGAATGCTGATTCCTCAGTCATAAAATAACTAGTTTTTATTTCTTCAGCCTCCTCCATACTGTTACCACAAAGCCTGTGTGAGTCCACATTCCTTGCCGTGGATCGGGCTTCCTTCTATCTTCTAGTCTCATCATTTCCTGACTATGTTTGAAGGATTTTATTTTCATTACGTGTACTCATGTGGGGCTCTCGAGGGTATGTACACTGTGGAGGCAGCTGCACAAGGAAACCAGAGACACTGGATCTCCCCGCAGCTAGAGGTATAAGTGGTCGTAAGCCAAGAGAATCGCTCGCTCCCCTTCCAGAGCTGTGCACGCTGTCGACCACATAGCCACCGCTGCAGCCCCGCCCCTTAAAAAAATAGCTATCCTCGTGGTAGTGAGATATCTCACCTTGTTTTAAATTTGCATTCCTTAGCTAGGAATACTGAGCAATACTTCATGTGACTGTTGGTGGTACTTACATTACCTTTAGAGATGTGTCTGGTTCGGTACTCTGTTTTCGTTTTCAATTGTTTTGATTGTTGTTATTTTGTTGTAAGAGTTCTCATGTTTTAGATACTCCTCATCTATTAATGTAGTTTGCAAAAAAAAATTCCTGAGTGCATAGGTTGTCTCTTCTTTTTAAAGATTATTTGAGAATTCCATACATGCATACAATGTGTTTTGATCAAGTCCACCATCCGATCTTGTCCCTCCAATTCCTCTCTAGGCCCCTCCACTATTGCCTCCAAATGTCATGGTTTATTATTATTTATGGTTTATTATTATTATTATTATTTTGGTTTTTCAAGACAGGGTTTCTCTGTGTAGCTTTGCGCCTTTCCTGGAACTCAATCTGTAGCCCAGGCTGGCCTGAAGAACTCACAGAGATCCGCCTGCCTCTGCCTTCTGAGTGCTGGGATTAAAGGCGTGTGCCCCCACCGCCTGGCTATTATTATTATTATTATTTTTTGAGACAAGGTTTCTCTGTGTAACTTTGGCTGTCCCGGAGCTCCCTCTGTAGACCAGGCTAGCCTTGAACTCAGAGATCCGCCTGCACCTGCCTCCCAAGTGCTGGGATTAAAGGTGTGTGCCACTACTGCCCTGCTAAGTTTATTATTATTTTTTAAGACCCACTGAGTCAGTAAGTATATGGGTCCTGTCAGTATATGCGTGGGTCACTGCATCATGCATAGCCCTGCCTCTCAGGGGCTGAATCCTTGAAGAAACCTCACTGTTTCTCTCCCGGCTCAGTTAGGGTGCGACTTTACGATCACCTCCCCCGCTCCATGCTGGGATTTTGAGTGGCTTGATCTTGCCCAGGTGTGGTGCCTGCTGCACTCACTAGTCTCAAGGTGATGTCTGCCCTCCCACATCAAAGATCTAATCACCTAGTGCCAAGCGGGCTTAGGCACTGAAGCATTATAACTGTCCGGCCAGCTCTGGTGAGGATTTTCTGGGGGCCTGGAATGGCTGGTCCCGATGGATAAAGTGTCATGCTAGTTTGGGTGCTGGAGTCGTGGCTGATCCACTGGGCATTGGCTTTGGGTACCTGGGGGCAGGTTATAGTAGCACCTTTGGTGGGAGGCTGAGGGTTATATGGTTACACATGGTTACACAGGTTGTAGTTGCAGCTTCTATTGGGGGGCAGGGAGCTGCAGCCCCTCATCTGAGGAACAGTATGCTGCCATCGGTGACTACGGTGACCATGATGGCAGAACCTTAATTGATAGAGAAGTGACTACTGTCCTCCAGAGCAGGGCGCACTGTAGCCTAGGGGTCCTGCAGTGGGTGGGGCTTCCTCTGGAGCACAGAAACTCTGTGAACCCCAGGCCTGTGAGGATGGTAGGGGTCTCCACAACAGACACCCGCAGGTGCTGCTGGGGCTAAGATTAACCTGTAAGCCCTTGCCGAAGGACAGATACTTTTGGGGATACTAGATTAGCACCCACGTTTCCAGCTCCCTAAACAAGTTTGGTTGACCCAACTGCACTGAATGGGAGGTATGTAGGCAGGAAGTACATCAGGATGTATGCTTGCCCCTGACTGGACAAAGGCAGGAAGTACGGAACCTCCTGAGCTTGCCTTTATAAGCACCTGGCCAAGGTAGGTCATGGTCATTCTCTGTGAATCCTGGGTATGAACTTAGCCAATGTCCATCTTCCTGGCCAGTATTTAATAAAGCTTGCTTTAATTGGATAATTGAGAAATTATCCTCGAAAATCTCAGGTTTACCGATGTCTGCAGCAGTGGTGTGGTGTGGTGGCTGGTGCCTCCTGGTCATGTCTTCCTCACGTGGGGGAAGCCTTCCTGCATCTCACTTGATCCTCTCTGCATATAACCTGGAGGTGGGGGTATGAGTGACCTTGTCTCTCTGAAGGTTTCCACTCTAGCCTTCCTTTCCTTGAGGCAGTATGTTGGTTCATTATTCGGGTCCTTTTAAGCATTAGGCACTTCTAGATAATCTGGCTACAATTGCTTTTTAAATATGGACCGTGGTATATACACTGTGTTTGCACGTTTTTCCTTTTTTTAGGCATTCATTTATCCTAGCAATAGAAACTGACTGCATTCTCTCTCTCTCCTATCACCATGTTGTTGTGTTTATGATGAAGATGGTTCTTGTTTTTATTTTATTTTACTGTATTATTTATTTATTTTTTGAGTAGGGTTTCTCTGTAGCTTTGGCTGCCTTGGAACTCATTTT